AGTTACAGGGGGCTGAAGTTCCAGGAGGGGGGATCCTTCCAAAACCAGAAACGAGGGCTTCATCTGAGTCAGTTGATGGTTTTACTAACATCAGGCTGTCAAATGATGGCATTGGCAGAATCCAGAGAATCCTCACTCAGTTTGGATCACCCAGCTCTCCCACCTCTCCTGGATCACCTGGAACAGCTCTTACTGGAACACATCAACCACAGCAACCAATGGTTAACTCTGTGAGCAGGCATATGTCTGTGAACCCAAATCTTGCAGGTAAATTTACTCTTTCTTCATGTTACCAGCAGCATCCATTGGAATTGATTAATGTGTGGTTCCAAGATACTGGTGCAACAGATCATGTTTCTTGCTCACTATCAGTTTTACTAGATATAAACCTGTTCAGAATGTGTTTATTACCCTACCTAATGGGACAAAGACACCTGCTACACATTCTGGTAGTGTTAGATTAACACCAAATCTTGTTATTCATGGTGTTTTGTTTGTCCCAACCTTTTCTTTTAATCTCATCTCAGTTAGTAAACTCACTCAGTCTTTACCTATCTCACTCACTTTTAAATCAACCATTTTTCATATCCAGGACCTACTAACCAGGAAGATGATTGGTTTTGCCCATGAGACCAAAGGTCTTTACCAACTCACACCTCATACCACAGAAGACCATTCCATTCATGTTAATTCCCTCAAGACTCACAACCTTACACCACAGTCCTTTGATTTATGGCATTGGCGACTTGGGCATCCTTCTGAGCATAGGACTAAGGAATTGAAGAAAACTGTACCTAGTATAGATTTTGATTCTGTTAGTCATTGTGGAGTTTGTCCTCTTTCCAAACAGAAACGCCTTCCTTTTCCTTCAAGCCAGTTTGTGGCAAAGAGTGTGTTTGAACTCATTGATGTTGATATATGGGGTCCCCTTGCTGTTTCCAGTTACAATGGTTTCCAATACTTTCTTACCATTGTAGATGACAAGTCTATGTGTGTTTAGGCTTATTTGATGAAATTTAAAAGTGAATCCAGAAAGTTGTTGCAAGATTTTTGTGTTATGATCCAAACACAGTTTGAGAAGAAAGTTAAAATTGTTAGATCAGATCAGGGTCCAGAGTTTCATATGCCTGAGTTTTATTCTCAACATGGGAACATTCACCAAATGTCCTGTGTTGAAACTCCCCAACAAAATGCCCGAGTAGAAAGGAAACATCAACATATCCTAAATGTAGCTAGGGCCTTAAAGTTTCAGTCTGGACTTCCTCTTAAATTCTGGTAAGACTTTATCCAGCATGTTGTTTTCCTCATTAATAGGCTGCCTACTGTTGCCATTGCCAATAAAACACCCTATGAGGTGTTATATGGACATCCTCCAGACTTATCAGACCTAAGGGTCTTTTGCTGTTTGTGCTATGCTAGCACTTTAGGGCATAACATGACTAAGTTCTTGCCTAGAGCCAAGCAGTGTGTGTTCTTGGGTTATCCAATGGGTGTTAAGGGGTACAAATTGCTTGACTTACAAGATCAGAAGGTATTCTTGTCCAGGGATGTAGTCTTTCATGAATCTATCATCCCTTGCCTGTCTGAGTTATCCAACCCATCTACCACAGAAATACCTACCATTCCCATATTTTCACCCATTACCACACCTGTTACCTTCCCTGAACCAGACACCACTCCTGCATCTGATCCTATACATGTCCAATCTCAAGCACCAGACTCAACCTCACCTTCTTCACCTTTATCACCACCCATAACCACTCCACAAACTGAACCAACTGCTTCCTCTCCAACTCCTTTTTCTCCTATACCAGTTCCACCTTCTTCTTCCTCTTCTTCTCAGCCCATTGCACTCAGAAAGGCACCTCGTGCTCCTGTCAAATATAATGATTGTGTCATGCACCTAGGAACCACTAACTCAAAAATTTCATATCCAATGGTTGCTTGCTTGTCATATGAATAACTGTCAAACAGCTACAGGAAGTATGTTTTGGCAGTGGAGTCTACTATTATTCCTGGTTCCTTTGAAGAGGCAGTTAAAGAAGAATACTGGAGAAGGGCTATGGATTTAGAATTGGAGGCACTGGAAGCTAACCACACCTGGGATTTAGTTCCAAGACCTTCTCATCAGAAAGTCATTGGTAATAGATGGGTTTACAACATCAAATTTCAGGCAGATGGTACCATTGAAAGGTACAAAGCTAGATTAGTGGCTAAGGGCTTTACACAAATTTATGGTGTTACATGGAACTACCCCCTGGACTGTCAAAGCCTGGATATGTTTGTAAGCTGAAGAAATCTCTTTATGGTTTAAAGCAAGTCTCCAGACAATGGTTTGCCAAACTTACCTCCGTTTTGTTTGATTTTGGATATACACAATCTCCGAATGATCATTCCATGTTCCTCCATCATTCTGCTGTTGGTACCTCAGTCCTTCTAGTTTATGTGGATGACATCATCATTGTTGGTGATGATATTCCAAGTATGCAGGCTTTGAAAACACATTTGAGTGATCAGTTCAAACTTCGGGACCTTGGCCAACTTCACTACTTTCTTGGTCTAGAAGTGGCCAGATCCAGGGAGGGACTACATATATGCCAGAAAAAGTACTGCACTGATCTCATTACTGATGCTGGTTTTGCTAACTCCAAGCCAGTAGTGACCCCCATAGACATGAAGACACGTCTCTCAGCAGATGATGGACCTCTTCTGGATGATCCAAAGCTGTTTAGAAGGATTGTTGGTCGATTGCACTATTTGACCATCACTAGGCCAGAGATTACCTTTGCTGTTCAGCAACTCTGCCAATACCAAGCTGCTCCTACCACAACTCATATGCAGCTTGCTTACAGAGTTCTTAAATACCTAAAAAATGCACCAAGTCAGGGTCTCTTTTATCCTTCTTCATCTAACTTAAAGCTTAGAGGATATAGTGACTCGGATTGGGCATCATGCCCTGATACTAGAAGATCTACAACTGGATATTGTATTTCCTTTGGAGATGCATTGATCATATGGAAGTCTAAAAAGCAGGGAACAGTTTCAAGGAGTTCCTTTGAAGCTGAGTATAGAGCCCTTGCTCAATTAACATGTGAGGTTGTTTGGGTTAAGAGGTTACTGCATGAGCTAAATGTTGATCATCCTCAGCCAGTTGACCTCTTCTGTGACAGTCGATCGACAATCTATATTGCAGAAAACCCTGTGTTTCATGAAAGAACGAAACACATTGAGATCGACTGTCACATTGTGCGCCAGTTCCTTCAATCAAAACTGATAGGTTTGAGTCACCTAGAAACTGAGAATCAGATTGCAGATCTGTTTACAAATGGGCTTAGCCAATTCAGACTCCATCACCTGATGTCCAAGCTGAACATACAAAACTTGTATGCATCAGCTTGAGGGAGGGTATTGGAGATGCAGTTGCAGGTTACACGAAGGAAGCTGGTTGATCTCCTAAGGCACTATGGATTTCCATACGGTGACGTTTCCCTCGGAAGCAACAGAGGAGCCGAGTAGAGCGCTGCCGTTTTGATTATGTGTTAAGGAGATTTCCGTTTTTACTGTACATATTACAGTTGTCTTTATCTTATTGGTAGATAGGTTTTGTTAGTTTGTTACCGTTACCTTTTGGTAACTTTTGTACAACAGAGACTCCTTCTTGGAGAAGTAGATGGATGAATAAAAGGCCTAGAGCCACCAAAAGATCCCTTTGCGGGTTCTTTCACAATACCTTTGTTGTTTTCTCATACCAAGTTTCCACAAAAATCAAATCAGAGCTTCCCCTTAGACTTTTCTTCAACTTCTGCCCGCCACTTCACGCCCCTCTTTCCCTCCCCCTTCTCCTTCACTCTTCACTTCTCTTCTCCCCCATGGTTGCTGCTCCTTGACCCGCAGCAGCTCTTCCAGGTTCCTCTCCGTCTTCTCTCTCTCTCTCTCTCTCTCTCTCTCTCTCTCTCTCTCTCTCTTTCTTTCCTTTTATGTTGTTCTAATTTTAGCCTGGCATGGCATTCTTCCGGCCAGCGGAGGATCAAAATTCTGTTCGTTAGCTAACGAGTTGGACTGTGTGAGAGAGAGAGTCTCGAAATGCTCGGCTTCTGGCGTTGTTTCTTCCGTTGAATTTTCGTTTTCATGGAGGTAGGCTTAGGTTTTAACCGGAAAGAAAAAGGCACTGCTGGAAAAAAATTTCCCCCGACCCCTTTTTGTTTGTGAGTGAACCAATAGACAGAGAAAGGAAAGGCAGAAACAAGAAGGTACAGACAGACAAGTAAACAACACATTTGCCTTGTTTGCAGCATAAAACTAGAAACCACTCATCAAAACAAAGACGAAGAATAAAATATATAAGTTTGCATGCTAAACCCTACCAAACAAGGTTTGACTTTAGCCCCGTAACCAAGTCAAGCGACTGCCAGAATTGCATAAGCGGCCACCAAATCATCATTGACTAATGCCTTTGCTCGGCCAATCACCAAAAAAGAAAACAAGAAAGAAGGAGTTCTTTTATATAGAATGAACTTGACACATAACTCAACACACCTAATATCCCTAATCACGAGTAATGTGAAATCATGGTTGAGTAAAACTTCTCTATTCAAAGTCCACGCACCACGCATGAAGACCAAGACCTAATAAGATGAGCTTGTTTTCACATCCTTCCTTGTAAAAATTTGATGTTGTTGGTCTCAATTCTATGTTATTTGAAAAATAAGGAATTAGTTTAGATGTATAATGTATTTATTAAAAATATTATTCGGTTGAATATATTTTTAAGGGAAAATTGTAACAGAACCGTGAAAAATAATTATAGGACTCGTTTCAAATTTTAATACCTTGAGTTGCATATGCTTGCTACCCTCGAGGTGTGCTCAATTACATAAAAACAATATCGATAAAAATTGTATATAGATTAATTGTGTGCATTCACTCTTCCAATTCTATTTATGTATAAATAAAATTATGAGACTATATAGACAACCCGGACAAAGTTGAGGGACCAACTCCAACTTTGGGGGAAAAAGTAAATTAAATCAAAATAATACCGAAAACGAAAAACGAAAGCAACCCGCTCTTTCCCTTTCTTTGTTTCCTACTAAAACCCCGAACTGCCTGCGCGCGGCATTAGTTAGTTGGGCTTCGTACTGCGTAGCAGCCAGCGCCCTGTCTCTCTCTCTCCCTCACTCTGCTCAATCCTCCTCCTCCTCCTCATAAAATAAAACCTCACAGCAATCAATCTGTTGCCAAGTTTCCACAGAAACCAAATCAGAGCTTCCCGCAGACTTTTCTTCAATTTCCTTCCAACTTCTGCCCGCCATTCCACGCCCCTCTTGCCCTCCCCCTTCTCCGCCCATGGTTGCTGCTCCTTGACCCGCAGCAGCTCTTTCAGGTTCCTCTCCGTCTTCTCTCTCTCTATTTCTTTCCTTTTCTGTGATTCTAATTTTGACCTGGCATAGCATTCTCCCGGCTAACGGAGGATCAAAATTCTGCTCGTTAAGCTAGCGAGTTGGAGTGAGAGAGGGAGAGGGGGAGAGAGAGAGAGAGAGTCTCGAAATGCTCTGCTTCTGGTGTTGTTTCTTCAATCGAATTTTCGTTTTCATGGATGTCGGTTTAGGTGTTAGCCGGAACAGGACAAAAGGCACTGCTGGAAAATTTTTGAGCTGAGCATAAAGTCAACAGTTATGATCAAGTCAACGTCGGCTGCTATCCCCTTCTCCTTCACCCTATCTAAACTGATTGAGAAGAACGTTTGGTTTAATGGCTGGCAACGAACTCAATTTTACTTTGATCCTTTGGCTGTACCGTTAGAACTCTGATCATGAAGTAGGAAGTAGTCAACTAGATATATTGTTGTTGTTGAGCCTCAATACTTACTGACGGCAGAATTGAAAACATGACCCCCATGGATTGATAGCTAAGAAATGAATCATTCAGAAATGCTGCACAAGAAGTTAATTGCAGTTTCGAGTTGATTTATTCTCATTTAAAAGCTTCTCTTGGTACAAGGCTTTTGAGGGTTAGTTTATATTGGCTAGAACTGCTACTTTCTTGAATATCTTTCTGAATGGTTTTTCTTTATAACCCCAGTATTCTGCTTCTCATTACATAAGGTATCTTCTTCTGCTGCTGAGCTCCTTTTGTGTTTATGCTGCTTTCCCCCCAAATAGGTCATAGAGAGATGGCTAGTGATGACAAAGACGAGATGCCTATGCTTACAATGTCAGATGAAGTTGTGGATGATGCTAGATACAGGGACGTCCTCTTGAGGTCCCGTAGTGCCACATTCACGATCCCTATGGATAGATATGAGAACGAGAAGAATCATGGAGGCTTTACAGGTCCACTGCGTAGTGAAAGGAAAATGCCGTCGAGTCAGTTCAGTGGTCCGCTGTACATCAGCAGCCCATCTGAACATGTTTCGCATCAGAAGCCTAATCTGCCAAGGAGCAAGACTGTGAAGCAGGATTTCCATCGGAGTGGTGATAAGCATGGCGCTAAGAATGAACATCTGTTGAGGTCCGGTCCATTGGGGATGTGCAGTGACCCTTACTGCACAACTTGTCCTAGTTATTATAATACCAACACAATAAAGCACAGACATTCAAGAACTTCCCTTATTTTTGACCATCAGGTGAGAGAGCCTTCAATGTGTTGTGTGGATTGTAGCAGAAAGCGAAAGTTTCGTTGATAGGAACCGAGTCACCATCTATGCTGCATATGAGCACCGTGAGTGTTTATGATGTCTAAATTGTTGTCTCACCTTTCATAATGTTTGACTTTGCAGTTTCATAATGCTCTGTATGGCGATGCAAAAGGTTGGGCGAGGAGATTCTTTTCTCATTTTACTCTGTATATTCCTCCGGTCATGAATCCTCATGCTCGAATTGTTCAGAGGTGGAACAAGTTTTTTGTCATCTCATGCCTGGTGGCCATTTTTCTTGACCCATTGTTTTTCTTCTTGCTAGCTGTGGACAAGGTACTTCTCGTTTCAACTTCGATAATTTATCACTATCATTTTGGCATAAACCAAATCAATCCAGATTTTGTTTTTTTTTTTTTTAATAAGGTAATATAGAAGGTGTTACTTGTAGTGGTTGTTACTTGGTTATTCATGATTTCATATACCTAACTTGGAGAGGTAAATGCCTACACATTGTAGGTTATGTTGTTTATATAGTATCGGATAATGGAGAGACTCCACAGAGTAGATATAAACTATGCAGAACGTAAGTGTAGGAGCAACAAGTAGAAGTAGCTTCGACTTGTGCATGCCTAACTTTTTTGTGTCAAAGTAATTTAACATTTTCATGTCTCATGATGCCCCTTATGAACGTTAGTATTGCCAAGAGTAGTTGTTCATGCTGCAATCGTGACTTGATATGATGTTTGGTGATTCCTTTTAATTTCCTTCTTGGTTGGTCTAGCGTACCTTCCAAGTTTCTTTAAATTCCACTTGTCTCTTCAGATGTCTTAAATTATGTGATTCCTTCTTATGGATACAGGGTAACAAGTGCATATACATCAACTTCCCCTTGACTACAACAATTGTGGTCTTAAGGAGTGTGACTGATTTTGTATATTTGTTGAACATACTTCTCCAGGTACAATTTCCTTTAGTGCCTGGATGTCTCAAAATAAATCCTCTATTTTCTGCTTGTGTCGTGAGGAGAATGTGCTGGTAAAACTTTGCTACGATGCATCTGCAAAGAAACCTTTTATGTTTTCTTCCTTGCTGCGGACCTGATGCATTCTCCTTCGCTAGAAGTGCCTCCTTTCTGACCTCTTGTTCTTCCTCTTTTTGCACTTCCCTTGTCATTTTTAGTTGGGCTACTATGTTTGTATCATCCTCATTCAGAAATATTAGGCCCTGAACATCTAGTGATTCTCTTAAGAACTTCTGATCATCTTACAGTTTCTTCTATATGTCAACACTTTCTAAATAGTTTGACCTGATTCAATTGGAACAGTTTAGGTTGGCTTATGTAGCTCCTGAATCTACCGTGGTTGGTGCTGGAGAGTTAGTTGACCATCCCAAGAAGATTGCAAAGAACTACATACGTAAATGCTTTTTCATTGACTTGTTCATTGTACTGCCTCTTCCTCAAGTAAGTTCATTTTATGCCCCATCTTGCATGTTTCTAAACATTCTAGAACGGTTCACCTCTGTTATTCTTCGTATTCACTGCTCTATTATATATATGCAGATCATCGTGCTAATGGTTCTACCAGACGTCTTGGGATCATCTGGAGCCAATTATGCTAAAAACCTTCTACGAGCAGCAGTTCTTGTACAATATATACCCAGATTGTATAGGTTCTTACCACTTCTTATTGGCCAGTCAGAAAGTGGCTTCATATTTGAGACAGCATGGGCAAACTTCTTTATCAACCTTCTTACCTTTATGTTGTCCGGGCATGTAATGGGATCATGTTGGTACCTCTTTGGATTGCAGGTTAGCTGAAATATTTTAATGTTTGATAATAATACTTCATCTTTATTTATTTTGTCCTCGGGTTTTGATTAATTCGATAACATCCTTATCCAAATTTTTGGCACAGAGGGTTAATCAGTGCTTCCGTGATGCCTGCCATAATTCTAATATCACCAAGTGCATGGATTTCGTAGATTGTGGCCATGGTGATGACTTCAGAGATTTTTCTCGCAACCCAGAATGGAAGAATTGGACAGATAATGTCAATGCCACTGCCTGTTTTATGACCAGTGGTGGCTTTTCTTATGGGATTTATGTTCAGGCGGTCAATCTCACCACAGAAAGTAGTTTCATCACCAGATACATATATTCGTTGTTTTGGGGGTTCCAGGTAATCATATGGTTATTTTCAATATATTATCTGTCTTTTTGTTGTCATACATTTGGTCATTCACCAGTTACATTTGTGTACTGTTCTTAAGCTTGCATATTATGGATAACAGCTTTCTTTCCAAAATTTATTTAACTTTAACCATATTTCTGAATAACATTGAGTACTTTAGTATTGATATTTTTGTTATCATTTCTCGATGGGTTTCTGACATGGGAATTATTGACTCTTGGTGAAGCAAATCAGCACACTTGCTGGAAATCAGGTACCAAGCTATTTTGTATGGGAAGTCCTTTTCACAATGTTAATTGTTGGACTTGGCCTATTGCTCTTTGCATTTCTCATCGGCAATATGCAGAACTTTCTTCAGGCTCTTGGAAGGAGGTACATTTTTGCCCCCTCTTTCTTAATGTTGCCACGACCTGTACTTAGACTATGATTAAGCATTCTACTTATGCTAAACAACCATTTGCTTAATACTCTGTCATTTCCATATTTTAGGAGGTTAGAAATGTCTCTGAGACGACGTGATGTGGACCAGTGGATGAGCCATCGACGTTTGCCGCAAGAACTGAGGAGGTACCACATTCATATTCTCAAGTGTCGCACTTGGACACTAATTTGCATACAATTCATGTTGATAGTCAGTGTCTCAAGTCAACAGGTATGCATATTATAGTCAATGAAGAAGTCTTGTTAATCAATTTTTAGTACATGTCCTTAGTTGAATGCAAAATTTGTCGTCTTCAATCCCTCTTTGTAGATTAAACAAAAGAAAGAGACAACTTTGATGTTATCTAGCATAGTAGAGACTATGGATCAAATAGTATTTGCTTACACTATTTTCCTTTGACTAAGAAATCAAAATTGAGAAGGTGTCTTATAAGTTGACTTAGCTTACTCTTACTAAATTTATTGTTGTGATACAGGAAAGTGGTTGAAGCTGAAAGGTACAATTGGGCTGCGACTAGAGGAGTTAATGAAGAACTGCTATTGGAGAATCTACCTGAAGATCTCCAGAGAGAAATTAGAAGGCATCTGTTCAAGTTTGTCAAGCAGGTAAGTCGTCCTGGAATAATTGGAATACCAACCCTCCCTTTCTTAACCCTTTTTTTATCAATCGTCACAGCAATATCAAACATTCGGCACTGCAGGTTTGGATATTTGGGTTGATGGATGACAATGTGCTGGATGCCATCTGCGAGAAACTGAAACAGAGAATATACATCAACGGCAGTGAAATCTTCTACCGCGGCGGCGTGGTTGATAAGATGGTGTTCATCGTGCGGGGAAAGTTGGAGAGTGTGGGGGTGGACGGAACTGAAATCATTCTGTCCGAAGGCCAAGTCTGTGGGGAGGAACTTCTTACATGGTGTCTTGAGCATGCTTCTTCAGTCAACAAAGGTAACTAACTATGGCTCCCCAGTCAGAGTCATAATAATCATTCTTAAATTTACAAGAACATACAATCAAACGTTTCTACATCGGGTTGAGTAATGAATCTGCAGAAGGGAAGAAAATCAAGATGCCAGGGCAGAGACTAATCAGCAGCAGAACGGTAAGGTGCTTAACCAACGTGGAGGCGTTCTCGCTTCGAGCAATCGACCTGGAAGATGTCACCAGCATTTTCGCCAGGAGCTTGAGGAATCCACGAGTCCAAGGCGCCATAAGGTCATTCTTTTTTTTTTTTTTTTTTGCCTGCTTCTTCACGTATACATTGCCTATAGCTTCAATGTTAATACTAGTTGTATGTGCTATCCAGTTATATGCATGGTTGTGCGTGCCATTGACTCGTTGTAATCACAGGTATGCATCCCCTTACTGGAGAAGCATAGCAGCAATGCGGATTCAAGTTGCGTGGAGGTATCGTCAGAAGCGATTGAAGCGAATGGAGAGTAGTACTACTAACACTGAGATGAGACCCAGCTGGGCTTCGTCGTACCCTCGTCCCCAGCTTCATTACCCTCGTGCGTGATGTATCGATACATACAGTCGATCTATAGATGGTAAGAGATACGAGCCATTGATGAAAGGTAGATAGATAGATATGTAGTTAATTCATGTATCTTCTGTGTATATAATATACTAGCTTTGTTTCCGGCCATTGGCCGGGTAAGTTTCACTTATTATTTATATTGTAATTATTTTAGACAATTATACATGAAGCCGAAGTATGATCTAGCATGAATTTGTATATTTATATTAATTTAAACTTAATATGCTAAAGAGTTGCCACAAATCTGAACTAAAACAACATAAAACCTCATAAACCTAAATAATACTCTGTCAATTCGCATGTGCCTTATCCATTTTTAATTCGCATGGTGATAAGGGGTAATGAAGAAAGGAAAAATGGTTCAAAGAAGCTACCTAAACAGAACAACAAAAAGATATTCAAAAGCTTGCAGTCCATAGAAGTTAAACCCTCTAAATTAGAGAAACAAAGTGCATTAGACGATACGACCAATATAGCATTTGCAAAACAGAACAGCAGTAGAAAAATATTGCTATTGAAATTGTGTAAACATGAAGCAACGGCGAAAAGACAACAATCAAAAATTGCATGTCATCTATTATCTCACTTCATTCATACCTGTTCTGAATTAGAAACACCAATCTTTTATTCAATGAACCGAATAACGTGAAAATACATAGAAAGTCGCTTGTGTGACGCCCAAATCCAAGATCTGCCAACGTACACCCTCGTCGTCGTTGTCGCAATCACCATCTCCTCTTCTGATTTTGTTTCCCCGGATTGAATCACAATTCCTTGACCCACTGCTTTCGGATGCCGTCGGAAGTCGTCATATGACCATATCTTTGTTATCCAATATGGGATTACCGGCAGCATATGAGAGTTACTCTGTCGGCTGCTCTTTTGGTGCTTTGTTGAAGCCGGGCGGTTGTTGTGCTGCCAACCGCTGCCTCGATGGTGAATAATTTCTAGAACCATGGGCCCATGGAATAAACCACTCATAGCGAAATTGAAGGTTGGAGGCACGCCGTTGTTGTTCCGCCAACCGCCGGGCGATAGTGAATGATTTGGAACGCCTCCGCCAAAACCACTCACAGGGATGGGATATAGGATGATACTATAAGGAAGGAAGAATAGAAAGAGAAGTTTTCGCTGCGGGGATATTGGGGTTTTTCCAAATGAGAAAGAACATATAACGTCAGAGTAGGAGATCGCGGAATAAGAGAAAGTGTCCGACGTGGAGAGTTTCAGTTTTCAGTATTGATTATACTAGCTTATAACCCGGCCCGTTGGCCGGAATGTTTATATTGGATTTTTTTATACTTTTTATGTTACGTTAAAGTCTATCAACCCGTTTAATTTTATTGACAATCTTTCAATTGAGATGAACCATAAAGAAAGAATATATAGGTCGAACATTCAGAGAAATATCATCATCATTTGAGAAAATAAAATATAAAAATGTATAAAACATCTCATTTTCATAATGATAATTAAGCCCAGTTAATATGTTATTAGTTAGTTGATTGTTAAGAAAGATAGAGTATAAAAGCTCACTGGAATTCCCACACAACCCATAGATAGTTTGAAACTGAATCTAAAACCTCACAATCCTACGTAAATGGTTCAATGCTCTCATCTTGGGGGCAATATGCCACTAATAAAAAAGAAATGGAGGGTTGTAGGTTCGAGTCAACTATATACTAACAACTCAGCTAAGAGAGGACCATCAAAACTTGAGAGCAAACGACAAAATTGGATTACCTCCAATATACTAATAGACTCGATCAAAGTAATATAACGCAAAATTAGATAGTCCTTATCTATCAGTTCTAGCAGGCTGAATAAAGAATCGACCTACTTCATTAAATCAATCAATAATTACTCGTTTTAAGATAGAAATAGGTTGTGGTAGTTGCAAAAACCATAAACCTAATGATCCAATAGCCACCACTCTCCATTGAAAGACCAAATTTTTATCTACTCTATCTTCAATCTCAAGAAGCATATGTTTCAACCAAACATTCACTTTCTAATCCTCCTTCTGCAACTCCATTTCTGCTACTTTGATGGACCTTCTCTCTGCGGCCCTCAATTTCTCTTCCAATTGGGGTTCTTGTCAACTCGCTCTTTAACTCCTCAATCCCCTTCCTGTGTTTTGCCAACTCATCTTCCTTAGGGGCAGTTCTAATAAGTTTGCTAAAACCAAAAATCATCTCCAATTCCATAAATATGCTCATCTCCCCCCTTGCATGCCTTCACCTGCTTCAGCACACTTCCATGTCCTTCAATATCCTCTCCATTTTCATTAATATCCTCATCATCTCTCACTTCTCTCTCTTCAACTGCTCCAGTTTTGCTTCCGCGTCTTTCAACACCCTCCTCAATTCGATCACTACCCTCAGTAACTCCCTCTTCTCTGCCTTAACTTGCTACAGTTGAATTTTTCTTCCCCCCACCACTCTCATTCTCAAACTCAATCCTAACTCTTCTACTCCAAGTTCAACACCCCAAACTCCTAGAATGTTGCATGAAAGCTCAATTTCTAACTAATTCTAAAACAATATCAAAATTTGATTAGTGAGTTGGACCATAAGAATAAAAATTAATGAGGAAAATTATGGTTGCGGAGAACATTAGTTATCACAAAATCAAATATGAGTGAAAATATTGTAATTGAAAAGAAACCTTTTTTCTTAATTTTGATCTTTTTTTATTATTTCAATAGCTAAGCAAAGAACAAAAATAAAGTATCAGAAACAAACAACAAAAAAGTAGACAGGGCTCTAGGAAAGTACAACTGCCATGTTCTACACAAACATCTCTTTTGCTTACAAACAAATATAGTACCCAAACCATCGTTCAAATTCATTTTCTATATTTTATAAAAATCATTCATAAACAACCAACTTAGATAAATCGGGAAGGAAATAATAGCCTACCAGTTCAAGTCGATGAACCTTATATGAAGATAGAAACTCATTGAAGTTGAAACCTAATAACAGAAAGAGGAGAAATGACGCAGGAGATCCCCCGAGCTTTAAACATCGTATCAGGCAATAAGATCAAAAGAAATAGATATTCTGCATGTTGTGCTCATGAGACAACGTGAAATAAAAGTCGTTTTGTTATTAATCAGAAATATAAAACCATGAGACATAGAGAAGAAATGAATGACTTACATGTGCAAAGCGATTAACCTTGGCCGGAAACCGAAAACCTATTAAAGGTCAATGCCTGGTATAGGAAGATGAGTAAAGGCGAAAGGTATAACTGATCAAACATTGCCTTCAGCAATAGAAGCAACAAAATAGTTCTTCTGGTAGTACATCGAGGAGAGACAGAACCATTGGGTGATGCCAATGCAGAGGAATCGAGCGAGATAATCAAGGCCAGGCCATAACTACTTGATTGAACTCCATTCTATTCGCCATGGATTGATATGAGAGTTGAAATCTTCTACTTGCCCAGCCTAAATTCCCAAGAATAAAACTGCAGTGCCAAGAGATACCCGAATGTTGATTTTCAAATGCTCCTTATACTGGGAAGTGAAAGCACGCAAGCTATTGCACGATGGAGGGAATTTCGGAGAAAATTAGAAAAAGATAAGAACAAAGATAAAAAGGCACAAAATTTAAATTTATATTGAAAAATGCAAGGACACAACACGTAATAAAGGAAATAGTTTCTTCCATGTTAGCCAATTACCAATATACCTTTAGAGAAACATTAAAGAGAGCATGAATTCTAAAAATTGATAAAATTAAATGAAACTCTACTATGAAAATTGAAGTATTAAGCACCATGAAAATACATATGGTAGACTTAGTGCCCTTGTTAATCATGATGAAAAAGTTCTCTGCTTTTCACAGTTTCAATACATGTATGTTTTGTATTAAAAAAGGAACAACAAATACACTTAGTATAATTGGTTATGACTGCTATCTTTGTTTGAAGAGACCCAGGTTCGAGTCTTGATATTGATATTTTTTATGAAATAAATAATTAATTGTAAAGACAAAAATATCCTTCCTACTTTCACTCTCATTGGAGGAAATTTGAAATGGAGAAAAGTTTACAAAACTCTACTATATATTAACTAGCACCGAACCCGGCCCTTGGCCGGAAAAATTTACCCACAATTTATGAAAATAATCGTACTAGCAATATAATAAGAAAAAAAAAGAAATACAAATGAACAATAAGTACAAAATTTCAAAGAAGAGAAAGTTTCATGCTAGCAATATAATAAGAAAAAAAAAGAAATACAAATGAACAATAAGTACAAAATTTCAAAGAAGAGAAAGTTTCACTACTTAAAAAGTCCACATAATTGAACATTAGAGTTGCTCTCCCTAATACCAACATCATGATCCTTAACAATGAAAGAAAAAGATACAAAGCAAACTAAACTTAGAAACCGGCTGTGAAAGTAATAATGCAAACTTTAAAATGAATTGAAGGCCAACATATTTAGTATGTGTTAATCCTAAACTTGTTCTAATCCATAGTTTATCCTGATTGATAATAAGAAATCCAAATCGAAATAGAGTGCTTAAAGTAAACAAAATATGCAATGAATTTGAAGTTATAGGATTTAAAACAATAATTTTAGTGGCCACAAAGTAATATATTGTAAATCCCAATCGTCCCACGTAATTGTTTATCAACTGTCAACATCATAATCACAAATCATCTCCCAAAATTTCCAATGCAAGTTGAGCATGCATACCCAATAATGTGAAAGTCAAGCCCATTCATATATTGTTGCAAGGCATGACAAAAGATACAAATCAACTTAAACTAACAAACCGGTTGTGAAAGTAACAATAATGCAAGCTTCAAAAAGAATTGAAGGCCAACATCTTTAGTATGTGTTTATCCTAAAGCAAAACTTTTTCTAAATCATAGTTTATCTTCATTCATGATAAAAAAAATCCAAGTCAAAATAGAGTGATTAAAGTAAACAAAGTAGGGGTGTTCAAATGGTGTGGTTACCATGGTAACCGTTTTAACCAGTACTATTTGGATAATTTGGTTTGGTTAATTTGGATAATTGGTTTGGTTTGGTTAAAGTTCTTACCTTGTTTGGTTTAGGTGGTTTGGTTTGGTTTCGGACACTCCTAACCAGCCAAACCAAATCAACCAGATAAATAATTAGCCATATATCTAATATCTACACATACTTAATACTTTGAATAACCACTCAAGAATTAAACGTTCATTCTTTTAGACTCATAAAATATAAAGTTTGATATTGTTCATATAATGTATATTTGTATATGTAGAGTGTAGACCACACCATATGAACGCCTAATTTAGATAAATCTCATACATTATGTTGGATGAAAACTTGAAAGCAAGGTCATTTTCAGCCTATGAAAATTGCTAAAAGACTAAGTCAATTCAAACAAACACAACAATTCATTAACCCATACCATTGTGATAAATTTTTGTTAGGTGAATACTTTTATACTAACCGTAAGATAATTTCTTAGTTGCATGTATTTATGTTAAGGGTCAACTATAACTATGTGTTGATTGTTATGTTTTATTCAATATATAGATTGTGAATTAATAAATTAACCGAAAATTTTCTCACTTAATGATAATATGATTTTATATTGGTTAATCTGGTTAACCAATTAACCAAACCGATTAAACTTTAGTTTGGTTAATTTGGTTGTTGTATTAGTTTGGATGGTTTGGTTATGATATTGTATTCCATGGTTAATGAAATTTAGCCTTATTTAGTTTGGTAATAATCATGGTAACCATTTGAACACTCCTAAAACAAAGTATGTTTGGCGATTCATCCCAATTTATTCCAAGAAAATACTCATTATTGCGTTATATGGAAACCCAGTTTGAGTTGCAATTCTCCCATTAACTGAATGAGTGTGGGAAAATGAAATGTTCTTTTTCTCTTCTTCAGTTTTACATATCCCTTTGATTTTTGTTAAGGAAGGTTGTTAAACCGATTTATCTTGTTGGCTTTGTCGAGTAAGTGGGGAAGGGTTGAGGTCAATGGTTCAATCGGTTTAATTCAGTTTAGCTCATATGTGTGAAAAGGTTATTATATTTGTCATATATTAATAAATTATATCAAATCTCATCTAACATATGAATAATAACATATAATTTTATTCAACAAAAAAATAATACTTATAATATTGTACCACAATAACCATTAGTACTCCTATATATAGTGAAAATTCAAACACATTCATATAACAT